CCAGTGCACCACAACTGCTGAGCTGGTACGTGAGCAGTGAGGAGCCGCAGCCACTGAGACCACGCGCCAACAGCTGAAGCCTGCACACCCAGGAACCTGCGCTCCGCAACAAGACTGCAATGACAAGCCCAGGCCACCACAACAACAGAAAAGTCCACACAGCAATGAAGAACCAGCACAGCCAAAAACAAATGAATAAAATTATTTTATAAAACAGAAACTACTTCAGAACTTTACTGAGGACAAAACACACACACAGATACACACAGGAGTAAGGAGAGAGGAAGAGCACCCAATATGCTATGTGATTTCCTAAACGGCCTCATTTAATAAAAAGTTAAAATTTTAGTGTTTCCAAATGCTGATATAGCTAAACTGTACATGTGTATGTAACCCCAGAGTCAGGAAACAAAATTACTTATACCAGAAAACAATGTAAGTTTTAACTCAAAAGGAAAGGTTGGCATTTGCTTATATTGTAATCAGTAAAGCTTAAAAAAAGCAACAGGACATAACTTTGAAGTTATGTACTAGACATTCAGTTCAGTTCAGTCACTCAGTCGTGTCTGTCTGACTCTTAGAGACCCCATGGACTGCAGCACGCCAGGCTGCCCTGTCCATCACCAACTCCCGGAGCTTGTTCAAACTCATGTCCATAGTCAGGGATGCCATCCAACCATTTCATCCTCTGTCGTCACCTTCTCCTCCTGCCTTCAATCTTTCCCGGCATCAGGGTCTTTTCCAATGAGTCAGTTCTCAACATCAGGTGGCCAAAGTATTGGAGTTTCAGCTTCAGCATCAGTCTTCCAATGAATATTCAGGACTGATTTCCTTTAGGATGGACTGGCTGGATCTCCTTGCAATGCAAAGGACTCTCAAGAGTCTTCTCCAACACCACATTTCAAAAGCATCAATTCTTTGACACTCAGCTTTCTTTAGAGTCCAACTCTCACATCCATACACGACTACTGGAAAAACCACAGCTTTGATTAGATGGACCTTTGTTGGTAAAGTAATGTCTCTGCTTTTTAATATGTTAGTCTAGGTTGGTCACAGTTTTTCTTCCAAGGAGCAAGCATCTTTTAATTTCATGGCTGCAGTTACCACCTACAGTGATTTTGGAGCCCAAGAAAATAAAGCCTGTCACAGTTTCCATTGTTTCCCCATCTATTTGCAATGAAGTGATGGAACCAGATGCCATGATCTTCATTTTTTGAATGTTGAATCTTAAGCCAGCTTTTTCACTCTTCTCTTTCACTTTCATCACGAGGTTCTTTAGTTCTTCACTTTCAGCCATAAAGGTGGTGTCATCTGCATATCTGAAGTTATTGTTATTTCTCCTGGCAATCTTCATTCCAGCTTGTGATTCATCTAGCCCAGCGTGTCTCATGATGTACTCTGCATATAAGTTAAATAAGCAAGGTCACAATATACAGCCTTGATGTATTCCTTTCCCAATCTGGAACCAGTTGGTTGTTCCAAGTCCATTTCTGTTGCTTCTTAACCTGCATATAGATTTCTCAGGAGACAGGTAATGTGGTCTGGTATTCCCATCTCTTGAAGAATGTTCCACAGTTGGTTGTGATCCATACAGTCAAAGGCTTTGGCATAATCAATGAGGCAGAAGTATGTTTTTCTGGAACTCTCTTGCTTTTTCAATGATCCAATGGATGCTGGCAATTTGATCTCTGGTTCCTCTGCCTTTTCTAAATCCAGCGTCAACATCTGGAATTTGTCAGTTCACATACTGTTGAAGCCTGGCTTGGAGAATTTTGAGCATTACTTTGCTAGCATGTGAGGTAAGAGTAACAGCATATAACTTTGAAGTTATGTACTAGACATTAAACACTCAAAAAAGTGCTCCAAAAAGTACAAAAGAAAACCAGACTCAGATTAACAGACAACACCACTGAAAAGTGTGTGTGTTTTCAAGATATTATCGCTTAAGCGTCTGTTTTTAACAAGTCTCTTAAAAAGCACTGATTATGGTACTTATTTAACTCACCATCTCCAATTTCACCCCGTAGTGTTAACCTAGCACTGCTTTTAGTACTTAAATGTAAACAGATTCCTCTACATTGCCCTGTACTGACACAAAATTCCAATTTAGAACAGAAATCTATGGGTTTTATTTACCACAGGCACCACTAATTATTAATGGTCATAAATGACATCCATTTCCAAGGGAAAAAAGGCACAACCTTTAAGAAACAGAGGTTGTTCACAAAATTAGTCATCTCACCATTAGCATTATCAGAAGAAAGAAAAAAATGACAAAATTAACCATGAATAGAAACAAATAAAAACCTACTCAAAGATTTAAATATAAGACATGACACCAAAAAACTCCTAGAAGAGAACACAGGCAAAACATTTCGTTGACATAAATTGTACCATTGTTTTCAGTTTTCAGGTCAGTGTCCCATAGCCATAGAAATAAAACTAAAAATAAACAGATGGGACCTAATCACCCTTATAAGCTTTTGCACAGTAAAGGAAACCATAAACAAAACAAAAAGGCAACCAATGGACTGGCTGGGAGAAAATATTTGCAAATGATGCAATTTCCAAAATATAAGCAGCTCATACCACTCAATAACAAAAAAAAAAAACAAATAACCCAATCAAAAAATGGGCAGACTATCCAAACAGACACTTCTCCAAGAAGACATACAGATGGCCAAGAGGCACATGAAAAGATGCTCAACATCACTAATTACTAGAGAAATGTGAATCAAAATTAGAGTGAGTTATCACCTCAAATCAGTCAGAATAGCCATCATTCAAAAAGTCTACAAAAACAACAAATGGTGAAGAGGGTGTGGAAAAAAGAGAATCATTCGTGGGAATGTAAGTTGGTACAGCCACTATGAAAAACAGTATGAAGTTTCCTCAGAAAACGAAAAATAGCATTGCCTTATGATCCAGCAAACCCCCTCCTAGGTATATACCCAGAAAAACGAATATTCAAAAAGATATATGCACCCCTATATTCATAGTATCACTTATTTATAGTAGCTTAGAGATAGAAACAACCTCAATGTTTACTGACAGATGAATGGATAAAGAAAATGTGCTATGTATATACAATGAAATACGACTCAACCATTAAAAAAAAATGAAATAATGCCACTTGCAACAACATGGATGGTTGCTACAGATTATCATACTAAGTGAGGTAAACCAGAAAGAAAAAGACAAATACCATGTGACATCATTTAATGTGGAATCTAAAATATAACACAAATGAACTTATCTAGGTCAAAGCCAAAGAATGTTCAAACTACCACACAACTGCACCCATTTCACATGCTAGCAAAGTAATGCTCAAAATCCTTCAAGCTAGGCTTCAACAGTATGTGAACTGAGAACTTCCAGATGTTCAAGCTGAATTTAGAAAAGGCAGAAGAACCAGAGATCAAATTGCCAACATCTGTTAAACCATAGAAAAAGCAAGAGAATTCCAGAAAAACATCTACTTCTGCCTCATTGACTATGCTAAAGCCTTTGAGTGTGTGGATCACAACAAAATGAAAAATTCTTAAAGAGATAGGACTACCAGACGACCTTACCTGCCTCCTGAAAAATCTGTATGCAGAAGCAACAGTTAGAACCAGACATGGAACAATAGACTGTTTCAAAACTGGGAAAGGAGTACACCAAGACTGTATATTGTCACTCTGCATATTTAACTTTTATGCAGAGTATATCACGTGAAATGCTGGGCTGGATGAATCACAAGCCGGAATCAAGATTGCCAGGAGAAATATAAATAACCTCAGATACGCAGATGACAATACCCTTATGGGAGAAAGTGAAGAGGATCTATAGAACATCTTGATGAAAGTGAAAGAGGAGAGTGAAAAAGCCTTAAAACTCAACATTCAAAAAATGAAGATCATGGCATCCAGTCCCACCATTTCATGGTAAATAGATGAGAAAACAATGGAAACAGTGACAAACATTATTTTCTTGGGCTCCAAAATCATTGCAGACAGTGACTGCAGCCATGAAATAAAAAGACGTTTGCTCCTTGGAAGAAAAGCTATGACAAACTTAAGACAATGAATTAAAAAGCAGATATCACTGTGCCGACAAAGGTCTATCTAATCAAAGCTATGATTTTTCCGGTAGGGATGTATCAATGTGATAGTTGGACCATAAAGAAGGCTGAGCGCCAAAGAACTGATGCTTTTGAACTGTGATGCTGAAGAAGACTCTTGAGAGTCCTTTGGACAGCAAGGAGATCAAACCAGTCAATCCTGAAGGAAATCAACCCTGAGTATTCATTGGAAAGACTGATGGTGAAGCTCCAAAATTTTGGTCACCTGATGCGAAGAGCCAACTCACTGGAAAAGACCCTGATGCTGGGAAAGACTGAGGGCAGGAGGAGAAGGCAGTGGCAGAGGGTGAGACGGTTGAATGGCATCACCAACTCAATGGAAATTAATTTGAGCAAACTCTGGGAGATAGTAAAGGACAGGGAAGCCTGGCATGCTGCAGTCCACAGGGCTGCAAAGTGTCAGACACTACTGAGCAACTGAACAACAACAAATGAAACAGAAACAGACTCATAGATACAGAGAATAGACTTGTGATTGCCAAGAAGGAGGGATGGATCGGGAGTTTGGGATTATCAGACACAAACTATTACACACAGAATAGATAAATATCAAGGTCTTACTGTATAGCACAGGGAACTATAGTCAATATCCTGTGATCAACTACAATGGAGAAGAACATAACGAAGAATATACATATGCATAACTGAGTCACTTTGCTGAAGAGCAAAATTAACAGAATACTGTAAATCAACTATACTTCAATAAAATAAATTTCTTAAAAAATTAAAACCTAGGAGTTCTATAAATAACAGAAGCAATCTGAACATCATTATAATAATTATATTATTTCTTAAGTACAGAACAAATCTATCAAGAGTATGTAATTGCAAACATGAACATATGGAAATGAAGTGAATATGGAAACTAAATACTTACAGCCAAAGCCTTAGACAGTTTGGTTCTAAACTCATTCAGGATGATCGCCACAATATCCTTGTGTGGTACATAAGCAAAGCCATTTTCCAAATAGACTTTCCTTCCTCGGAATAAATCCAGAGCTTCAGCAAAAGGGATCTGAATTCAGAGTGAAACACGGAAAATAAGTCAGTACCTGTCATTACAAAATTCTCCTAAGACTTCGTCAGTAGGGAATCTAAACAAAATGCCTTCTATGAAAAAGTCATCAGTGCCAGCAGATCAAAAACAAACAAAAAAGCAAAATCAATTTGTACTCCCTGTGAGTAAACAACAGCATTAGGAAGGAGTGGCAGGCCAAAAAAGATTTTGCTTCAGAGTAGATCTTTCAAAAATAAACAAGCAAAGTTAGAATGGTTTATTTCTATTCTTATCAATTTACAAATTATAATGACTAGAGTTCCAAACTCTAAGCTCAAGCCCTCTAGGTACATCAGACTGCCCTCATACAACATATTCCACACTTTTTTCTGCATCAAGTAGAATCCAAAGTATATACAGTATACTCAGTGCTAAAAATTGCTAGTAAGTAAAGTAGTTCCAAATTTCTTCATCTATGTTTCCACTCTTTCTCCACAGGAATATATTAGAAAAGTTAATCTCAATACTAAGAAATGGAAATAATAATAAATGTCCAGCTTTGTCTTTAAAATAAGTATTTGCAGTAAACATTTTTTTAAACTGAATACTATTCTACTTACATTTTTTAAAGCCTTAAGAACTACCATAAAATTTTAAGAGATGAGCAGATTATGATAACAGTATTAATAAATTGAAAAAAATCATCCTTGCTCCTCAATAGTTTTTCTACTTCTTAAAATGAGGTAAGAAATTAGGTAAAAAAAAAAAGAAAAGAACCCTCATATAACCTATTGGCTCAAGTTTTACGGAAGAGTTAAGTGCATATGGCCATAGTTCGTCAGTGCACTCAATGACACCACACAACAGTCAGATCGTGTGTTTTGCAGAAAGGTTCTGATCAGCTCGCAGATTTCTACGCCTAACACACAGCCCCTGCCCTGAAGCCAGTCGCCACTTGGCTGAGGCAACAAGGCAGGCCCTCACAGCAGCCCAGCAGCTGCAGAGAGCGACAGTGGCCCAGCTCCGTGGGGGCGACCAGGACACAGGAAGCGGGGAGAGGGTTTATCTCCATGATCCCGGGAAGGGCAGGAAGTCTGAACTGGTGGCTCCAGCACAGGCTCTTTTCTCGTGAGGCTGAGCACTTCAGTACATGTCATGACACTTGCCAGGCCCAGAACACGGGCGAGGGGTGGGGACCCTGGGGGCTCCTTAGCACTGCTGCCCCATAAGAAACGCATCCCCCGCCACCACCCTGCATGTGAGAGGCAAGGCTGTGTGCAGGGAGGGGAGCTTGGCCGTGGGCAGCTCTCAGCGCCCAGGCAGGCCGGGTATCGGCGCACCGCAGCCCTGAGCAGGGCAGCGGGTGAAAACAACCTCCGAGCAGGAGGGGCGAGGCTGCGCCCAAGAGGCTGCACAAACGCACCAGTTAAACACCATGGAACCTCAGAAGTGCTTTAAAGGTGCGCCTACCTTATAGACTGACTCCAGCTCCAACTGAGTCCCACCAAAACTGGGTGATGAAGCCATAATATCCTGTTCTCGGAGAGTCTTTTCCTCATCACTTATCTACAAGGAAACATATTTTATATCAATTACAAATTAAAACTCTGCATTCAGTTTCAATAAAGTACTTCCTATTCTAGCGAAGATTCCATACTTTTTTAAAACTCTTGAAACCCTGATATCTCAAATTATTCCTAATACAGTTACTAGGTGATTTTACAATCATTAATGAAGCCAAAGTATGGAAGAAAATTTAAATTCAATATACTTTCAAATTTCTACTCTGCCAATTTCTGAAGACACACACCAAAAGAACAGTAGCAGAGAAACAAAGTATTATAATATGAAACAAAAGAAAGCATAATAAAAATTAAGGTAATAAAGACAAAAAATGAACATTATCTCAATGTAGAGTTATGTTAATTTATTAAAATACCTATTTGAACTAAGAGTGGAATTTTCAAGACACATAAAACAATTTCAAATTTAAATAAAACACTAGTTTTGTAAGAACAACTATAGTCTATTATCTATGACTAATTATGGCTTTGAAAAAAAAGACTGATAGATATGACAAGATAAAAATCATAAACTTCTCTTCAGAAAAAAAAATCTACAAATGAATTATAAATGACAAATTGTGGGAAATATTGATATCATGTGACATCTGAGTTACTCTCAATAAACCCCAAGGTAGTAGAGCATAAATACTAATAATCCAAAAGTAAAACAAAGCCAACATTCATATAACTGAAAATAATAGAAGTAAATTAAAATAATAGTGTGATAATATTTTCTACCTATTAAAATGGAGAAAGTTAAAGTCCACAGGGTTGGGAAAATCTTTGCATAGAGCACTTTGACAATACACATAAATAAGTTTTAAAATACAGTCTCTAACAATTTCACTTCTAGAATTAAATTAATAAGAGAACAGATACAGAGATTGGGAAATTTTCTTTCACCACAATGCTATTTATAATAATTTTTAAAAGCCTAAATGCCCAGAACAGGTGTTTGGTTAAAGTACAGTACAATGTGATGTTTAAGTAAAGCAAACCATACTATTCAGATCAGCTTCTCACAGAAATCAAAGAAAATACACTGACAGAAAATTTTAACGCATCTTCTTTAAGGCACAGAAGATTAGTACATAGAGTTGGGCCCTCTTTAACTGGGATATCATGAATAGAGATCCTCCTGCTCTAAAGCTGCAGGTCATTAGAGAAATCCCAAGTGTTGAACTTGTTTTAAGGTCATCCCTGATTCAAAGGCCCCAGAAACCTAACAGAAGCAAACTCAAATCCTCTCTGAGCAAAGTACGTCCACAGCATGCCTCAAAGGACTTCAGCAAACACATTTTCAAATACTGTACCAAGCGCACTGTATTTTATAATAAGGCAAACAGTAAAGCATCACTTCATGAGCAAAAACAAAAAGATTCATAAACTACATAGATGATAACTGTGTCAGGATTACAAAAGACAAACATAATGATATCTGCATGAATGAGAAAGTGTAAAAAGTGACTTGACAAGGTGGGAGAGACAAAAATAGTATCAGACAGGTGGCCTAGTGGTAAAGACGAGGTGCTTTCCCTACCATGGCCTCGCGTTCAACCCCTGGTCAAGGAACTGAGATCCCACAAACCACACAGTGAGGCCAAAAAAAAAGTATGAGAGAAAGAGAGGCTTTTATTTTGGCTAATTGTGGCAAAGCTACTTCAAAGAGACTCTGCCACAACGGGTAGACTGTCTCTCCTCTCTAGAACCCAGGAGGAGTGAGGAGGGGGAACCAGAAGCTTATCAGTCTCGATAGGGATCTGCAGCACAGCGTCCAGGGATCTCAGATTCTGAATGGAAATTAACAGCATCTTGACCAGCTGCACCCACAGACTAATGAAAGGGGAAAATGAAAACCTTTCTGAACAAAGATACAATTCTCCTAAGGCTCAATACACTCCTCCAGATACAATCTCTAGCACACAGAGAAAACAAACAAACACACAAGGAAACAAGGTTCCATGAATGGAAACCAGAGTGGTAAAACCAAAAGAAAAGTGTAAGAACTGGAAAACAAAAAACAAAATTGGCTTTATTTACAGATTATATGATTAGAATCCGTAGAAAATTCAGAAGAATCCACAAATTATTAGACCTACTGAGGTTTCTAGAGCAAGGTTTCTAGATACAAGGTCATATACAGAAAAACTAATTATATTTCTATCTGCCAACAGCTAAGTTTAATAATGGATTTTTTTAAAAACTATCATTCATAACATCCATTGGATCATCGAAAAATCAAGAAAGATCCAGAAAAAAATCTACTTCTGCTTTATTGACTACGCCAAAGCCCTTGACTGTGTGGATCACAAAAAACTGTGGAAAATTCTTCAGGAGATGGGAATACCAGACCACCTGCCCTGCCTCCTGAGAAATCTGTATGCAGGTCAAGAAGCAACAGTTAAAACTGGATATGGAACAACAGACTGATTCCAAATCAGGCAAGGAGTACAAAAAGGCTGTATATTGTCACCCTACTTATTTAACTTACATGGAGAGTACATCATGTGAAATGCTGGGCTGAATGAAGCACAAGCTGGAATCAAGATTACCAGGAGAAATATCAATAACCCCAGATAAGCATATGACACCACCCTTATGGCTGAAAGTGAAGAACTAAAGAACCTCTTGATGAAAGTGAAAGAGGAGAATGAAAACGTTGGCTTAAAACTCAAAAATCAGAAAACAAAGATCATGGCATCTGGTCCCATCACTTCATTGCAAATAGATCAGGAAATAATGGAAACAGTGACAGACTTCATTTTGGGGGGCTCCAAAGTCACTGCAGAGGGTGACTGCAGCCATGAAATTAAAAGACACTTGCTCCTTGGAAGAAAAGGTATGATCAACTCAAACAGCATATTAAAAAGCAGAGACATTACTTTGCCAACAAAGGTCTGTGTACTCAAAGCTATGGTTTTTCCAGTAGTCATGTATGGATGTGAGAGTTGGGACTATAAAGAAAGCAGAGCGTCGAAGAATTGATGCATTTGAACTGTGATGTTGGAGAAGACTCTTGAGAGTCCCTTGGACTGCAAGGAGATCAAATCAGTCAATCGTAAAGGAAATCAGTCCTGAATATTCACTGGAAGGACTGATGCTGAAGCTGAAACTCCAATACTTTTGGCCACCTGATGTGAAGAACTGACTCACTAGAAAAGACCCTGATGCTGGGAAAGACTGAAGTCGGGAGGAGAAGGGGACGACAGAAGATGAGATGGTTGGACAGCATCACCGACTCAATGGACATGAGTTTGAGTAAGCTCCAGGAGTTGGTGATGGACAGGAAGGCCTGGCATGATGCAGTCCATGGGGTTGCAAAGAGTTGGACATGACTGAGCAACTGAACTGAATTGAACCGTTCATAACAGGATTAAAACTAGTAGTAAAATAAATCTAACAAAGGATATGTAAGGTCCCAGGAAAAAAACTATAAAACCTAACTGAAGGAAACTGGAGAAAACCTAAACAGAGAGATATGTAAACATGCACCAGAAGAAATAATACTGTACCAATTCTCCTCAAATTAACCTGCAGATTCAATATGCTCTCAAGCAAAATCACAATAGCTTATGTGTCTGTGTTGCTTATAGAATATACAGGGACAGACAATGCCAAGGAAAGCCAAAACAGAAAAATAATTGACACGGCAAAAGGGAACAAGAGACTTGTACATCCTCATGGTAATCTTTCGTTATTCTTTTCCAGTTTAAATACAAAAATAGTTCAAATATGTGCAATGAATACTAATTTGAAATTATATAAAAATTTAATATACACGCCTGTTCTTCCCACCATTCATGGGGATAATCATAAGCGACTCCATGGACTTTTTTTTTTTGCCCAGATGGTTTTCACAGGATCGGGCAATACTGAAGTTGAGACCAAATGTGTTAATCAATCATGTCCCTTTTACAATCACTTATTACAGCAACAAAGAATTAGGGAACTTTGAACATACAGATGTTTGCCATAATAATATCTGGGGTTTTAACTGAACAAATTCCACAGCAATATAAGTACCACTAATACTTCATACCACCACTAATTCAAAACTGAGAAAGAAGCATATCAGGCTATATATTGTCACCCTCTTATTTAACTTATATGCAGAGTATGTCATGCAAAATGCCAGGCTGAATGAATCACAAGCTGAAATCAAGACTGCCAGGAAAACCATCAATAACCTCAGATATGCAGATGACACGACCCTAATGGCAGAAAATGAAGAGGAACTAAAGAGTGTACTGATGGAAGTGAGAGAGGAGAGTGAAAAAACTGGCTTAAAACTAAACATTCAAAAAACCAAGATCACGGCATCCAGTCCCATCTGATCCCATCACTTCATGGCAGATGGGGAAACAATGGAAACTGTGACAGACTTTATCTTCTTGGGTCCAAAATCACTGTGGACGGTGACTGCAACCATGATATTAAGACACTTGCTCCTTGGAAAAAAAGCTATGACAAACCTAGTTAGTGTTAGTCGTTCAGTCATGTCCAACTCTTTGCAACCCCCATGGACAGTAGTCCATAAGACTCCTCTCTCTGTCCATGAAATTCTCCAGGCAAGAATACTGGAATGGGTTGCCATTCCCTTCTCCAGGGGATCTTCCTAATCCAGGGATTGAACCTGGGTCTCCTACTTTGCAGGCAGATTCTTTACTGTCTAAACCACCAGAGAAGCCCAAAAGGCATGTTGCCTCCCCATTGGGGAATCAAACTCCAGTCTCCTGAGTGACAGGCAGGGATACTAACCACTATACTAACAAAAGCAGAGACATCACTTTGCTGACAAAGGTCTGTACAGTAAAGCTATGGTTTTTCTAGTAGTTATCTACAGATGTGAGAGTTGAATCATAAAGAAGGCTGAGCACCAAAGAACTGATATTTTTGAACTGTGGTATTGCAGAAGACTCTTGAGAGCCCCTTAGACAGCAAGGAGATCAACCCAGTCAATCCTAAAGGAAATCAACCCTGAATATTCACTGGAAAGACTGA